TCACCTTTTGCCTAGAAGTGTGTGTGTAGTTAGGAGTATGATTAGAATAAGAGCTAAGTTAGGGTCAGCCCAGGGAGGCCTCAAATGCTAGGAGTCTGGGGTTTATTTGGGTGGCAATGGGGGTGGCAGCCATACTCAATAAGTTATTACTGGTAAAGCTCTTAGAACAGTGCCTGGCACATAGTAAGCACTCAATACCTGGTAATCAAAACCCATTGCTATCTAGTGGACAGGAACTCGTAATAACCCCTGTGTTACAGAGTAGGACTGCTTCATAGGGTTTTCTTGGCCATCATCTTCATGCAAGCACAGTACCAAGGCCTTTCTTTTGCCGCACTGCTGGGTGGGTTTGAACCACCAACCTTTACGTTAGTAGTCAAGTGCAAACTGTGCCACCCGAGGACCTTTGATACATATTACCTGCTGATAATAATAACTATATTATTGTTATTGTTAGTATTACTGAGCCAGGGGTCCAAGCCAATGGATGTTGAAGAATCCATGGGTGATCCTGAGGTCCAGCAAAGGTTGAAAACCCCTGAGCCATTAGCTCCTTGAGTCCGGAAACTGTCTGTGGTCTCAGGAGCCCCAGCCCTGGGCTTGGGACTTAGTAGGTGATCAGTAAGCGCTTATCTGATCAAGCTGCAGAAGAGATGTGTGATGAGCCAGGAGGGACTGGAGGTAGGGAACCCAGTGAGGAGGCTGGTGGTGAGGAGGAGAGAGGGTGATGGAGGCCTGGTGACCAAAATTCATGGGTGTGAGGGAGCATGAGTGGGAGTCACTCTGGTTTCCAGGGGTCTGGCCTAAATAATGCAGTGGTGCCACACTCAGAGAAATAAGGCACAAAAGAGGAACCATGGAATCAGAGTCCAGGAGGCTGGGAAATGGAGGGATGAACGGGTCTGTGGGACTGAGTCACCAGGAGGCGGTTGGTTTTAGGGGAGTGATGGAGGTGAGGACATGGAGTTGGGGAGAGGAGAGAACTCTTTTAAGTACTTCTACAGTGAAGGGAAAAGAGAGGGACCAGACAGTGCTTTTCACCACCAGGAAGAAAGAGGGGTGAGCAACTTTGAGGACTGATGTGCAGGAAACAGAGCAAGGCAGAGGCTATAGAGTACAAGCCCAAGCCAGGGGCTGAGTTAGGGGCTCTTCCGCTGGGGAAGCAGGATAGGCCATTGGCCTAGAGAGAGGACAGGTGACCTTGGACAAGAGACAGGATCCCTGGAGGTTTGACAGGGCTGTAACTGGAGTGAATGGATGAGAAGATTTGGGGTGCCCCGGCTGTTCCAGAATGTTTTCTTGGCCTGGGATGTGGACTGTGGGCAGAAGACTATTTGGGATGTGGATTTGGGGTGGCTGACTGGAGAGGCCTGGTTTGAGAACTGTGGGTGGGACAGCTGGAGCGGGAGGCCCACCTGGCATGTTCCAGGGCTGGTGGGGTTGGTGAGGTGGGCTTGGCCTGAGCTGTGGGAGGCTGCTCCTGGGCGTGAGGCCCGTCCTGTGACCCACCGAACCTCAGCCTCCAGGAAGGAGGCTAAAAATAAGGCTGTGGTGAAGAAGGGAGGGGGTGCCTGGGCCCAAGCCAGGCTGGAGCCCAGAGGAAAATCTGAGGCAACTGGCCGAGCAGCCGTGACACACGCTTCCCGTGCCAGTGGGATATAGCCCTCCTGCGGCTACGGCTCCTTCCAGGCCCGGAAGAGGGAAAACAAGCCCAGGAAAGCTCAGGGAGTGCCTGATTTAGGGCCTTAAGACCTGCCCAAGGTCCTGCTCCCTAGGAAGGTTCCCTCTGGCCTTCTGCCTGCAACTCAGGCCCTGGACCAAGGCTGGATTTTGGGGAAAGGGGCATGGGAGGACAGCCAATACTTCCTGTGTCCTGGGGTCTAGACCCCACCCAAGCCTTTCCAGGAGTTCCAAGGGGCCTTGGACATCCAACTGAATGTAGAAAAGCATCCCTCCTTCTTACCAGGAGCTCTGTGTGGTAGAGGAAGTCAGGAGAGGCTTTCTAGAGGCAGAGGCAAAAAAGCTGGGTCTAGTTATTGTCCAGTCAGATGGCTGGGATGTACAGTGAGGAGGAAATGAGAGACTTTTGATTTGTTGTGGACATGTGATATCTTCATGGCAACCATTCTGATATGGTCGCCCTCCCAGATGGAGAGCCTACTGCTACTGCATGTGCCTGCTCTGGGCTGGGGCACTCATCCTTTCGTCCACCCAGCACCTAAATTATCACAGTCTCGCCTTGGGTCCTGGAGTCCTTGGGTGGCACAGTTGGTTAAAGACTCAACTATCAGCTGAAAGGTTGGTGATTCAAACCCACCCAGAGATGCTGGGGAAGAAAGGCTTGGCATTCTGCTCCTGAAAACCCTATGGAGCACAGTTCTACTCGGCACACGTGGAATCACATGTAGTTACCAGGAGTTGAAATTGACTTGATGGTAGCTGGCTTGGCTTGGCTTGGTCCTGGGTTCTGGAGATGATGTACCATGGCCCCTGCCCTCATGGGGCTCATAGTGCAGTGGGGGGTGAGCAGACACTCACTCACCTATCTACACATATACACCACAGACGATCCCTGAGGGCCAAGTGTGAACCATGCAGGGGCAGCTTGGTGAAAGAATAAACTTTGGTTTTAGGCAATATGCTTGAGTTCAAATCCTGCCTCAGAGCCTTTCTGTGCTACATGGTAAGTTTTTCTGCTTCTTCCCAAGCCTCGGTTTCGTCAAATGTAAAATGAGTTTGATAATTACAAATACTAGCATTCTTACTGAGGATAGAGTCTCACACAGTGCCTGGAACTTAGCAGGAACCAATAACTCATGGCTCATGGCTCCCAGCTATAGTTGGCCCAAGGAGCTCACGTCCATGACCCCATGTGTCTTCCCTGTAGAACTAACTAGTCCTAGTGTGATGAGTGATAAAATAAAGATAAATGAGGAAGAGTTGGGGCAACTAGTTTACTGGGAGTGATGGGAGGGGGAGAAACCAAGGAAGACTTCCTGGAAGAGGAGGCATCTGGACTAATCTTGAAAAGCTAGTAGGAATTAGTGTAGTCAACAAGGTTATGCCAAGAGGAAAGAGAAAGTGTGTGAAAGTGGAGGACCATGAGTAGTTTGGGGTGGCTGGAGTGAGGGATGGAGGAGTGGTATACTGAGAAGTGAGGCCAGAGGGCAGGGTTGGTAGGGGCAGACCCTGCAGCCCTGTGGCCTGGTGAAAGCCTGGACCTTCTCCTGAGGCAGTGGGGAGCCACAGGTGACAGTGACAAAGTGAGAGGGTGAGAGGCAAGTGTTCAGATCTATACATCAGGAGGGGAAACAGAGGCTCTGACCAGAGAGGTATCCAGGCTCGGAAGTGGGTGAGGAGGAGGTGTGAGTCTGAGTGGCTCTCCAAGGTCAGACCCAACCTTACTGCCTGCATTGGGTCTCTGAGGCTGGGCATGGGCACCTAGGAGGTGCCATTGGTGGCTCTATTGTTCACAGGCCCCAGGACCAGCCCCTGCTTCCCTCTTTAAGGCAAGACCACAACCCGGCCTTAGTTATTAAGTCATTAACTGGGCCTCACACGGCTGCCTCATTATGGGTAATTATGGTAAATCCACTCTGGGAATTAACAAGGAGGAGGCTCCTTTCCTCTTGGCAGTTGAGCTTCTAGGACACCAGCTGGCTCTGACTTTGCATCCTGGGAAACTGTTCAGCCCCCAGACCTAGGTGTTTGGAGGGACAGTAAGACTGCAACCCCACCCACTGTCTGTGCCCCAGCCCCAACCACCAGGCTTGGCTCTCACGCAGAGCTTGGACAGTTCACTTCCTCATCGTGTATTTTGAGCACATGGCTTAACCTTCAGTGCCTCAGTTTCCTCATCTGTCAAGTGAGAGAAAAGTACCATTCTCATAGGGCTGTGTGAGGATTGAACAAGTAAATCATTTTTTTGCTCAGTAAATGTGAACCATCATCATTTTTAATGCCATCATCATCATCAAGAAGAGCCCTGGGAGTCCCTTGGGGGCAGGATCTGGTTCTCTTCCTCCTCTGTCCCATGCATGGGGTGCTCCTGAGGTTAGGCCCCCCCCTTTCTCCCTTATCTCTTGGAGATGTGCCGTGGTCAGGGGGGCTCTGGCCTATGGCTTAGCCTCCTGCTGCCCTCAGAGATAAGCCTGAAATGAGGCCCCCTAGGGCCTGAGGGGCTAGGGGGGAGTGGTTCCCCAGAAGCCCTGGGTGAATGCTACCAGAGGTGGGAGGGGTCCAGGAGGCCGGTCAGCCGTCATACAGCCAGGGCTGTCTATTTCTCCACAGTTGCCCCCTTGACATGGCCCTGTGGGAGATCAGCAGTAGCTGGGACTTGTGGGCAGGGCCTCAAGGGATTCCCCCTCCCCAGGAAAGCAGGCCTGGACCCGCCCTGCTTTCCTCTGCATCTTGAGACCTGAGTCTGAAAACTGGGATCCTGGTTCTCATCCCAGGACAGCCGAGTGGGTGCGTGTGTGCGTGGGTGCTTGTGCACATGTGCGAGTGAACAGCATGAGTGTGCTCTGCAAAACGTTCCAGCTTCCCCTGACAGATGGCTGCTCCAGCTTTAAGGGTCTTCCCCCCTCACCTGTGCCCTCTCTGAGCTGAGGCCTTTGTGCTTCCTCTGAGGGTCTTAGCACCCAGCCCAGGGTGGGTCACAGATGGGCAAGAGGCCCGGCTGACGGATGGAAGGCCTGGTTGTTACCAAGCGGGAGCCTTGCCTGTTCTGGGCATCAGCTTCTGCAGTGGCCAAGCAGAGGGTGGGATCCTCTCCCCAGGGAGAGCATGGGAGGCTCCAGTGGGGGCAAGTGGCAGCTTGGCCTTGAAGGTCCCTGAAGATGTCTAGATGGGCTGGGCAGGGTGGAGGTCAAGCAGGGCTGGGGGCTCCATAGATGGGTGGGAAGGAAGGCTGGGCTGGGACTGGGTCACCTAGGTGGGGTGGCTGTTGGGGGCACCCAGGGTGAGACATTGCTAGTAAGCACCCTCTGTCTCCCTCCCAGGCGTCCTTTTGGACATCCAGCAGCACTTCGGGGTCAAGGACAAAGGCGCCGGCTTGCTGCAATCAGGTGAGGCTCACCTCCTCCCCCAGGTCCCAGCTTCTTGGGCCTTCTTCCCATCGTTGGTTCACTTCCCTGAGCCTGTTTCCTTCCTTGTAAGTGCAGGCCAAGGACCCAAGCCTCTGGAGGTAGACCTTCTTTTGGGGAGGCTGGTGAAGGGAACTCCTTAAGTCACTAAGTTGAATGGCATCAACTGAGCCTGGTGACCCTGCTTTTACATACCCCCCTCCATTGCTGTCAACCCTGGAAATCACCTCTTCAGTGATAAAGCAGAACATTGCAACTGATCAGCCCCAGCATGGTTTTCAAACCCAGGCCCAGCATTTGAGTACTTGGGTCCTGGGCTAGACCTGGTTTCCTGCCCCCTTCCCCTCTGGGGCCCCGGTCTTCTGAGCTGCCTGCCTTTTGGGCTGACTAAGGCTGGGCCTGAACTCCCCTGGACTATGAGCTGGTTCTGGGCAGTGTCGTGGGCCATTAAACAGTTATCCCAGACTATCTGCTCAGGTCACCCCTCCCTTGGGGGACCATGTCTGTTCCTTGTCCCTGCCCTGACCAATACATGGTCCTTTGGGTCATCAGTTCTAGGCTTTTCTGGCCATATCCTCAGTAGGAACCCCAGGTCTGGGCAGAGACTCAGAGCCTGAGCTGGATCCCAGGCTGGGGAGGAGCCTTGGGCATGACACAGTCCGGCTTTGCTGTGTGACCCTGGCCTGGCCCTTGTCTGTCTCTGGGCACTGGAGTCTCTCTGGCTGTATGGCCCAGTCATGTGTATGGGAGAAGGTCCGCGGTTGGAATGCCTGTCCTGTCAGCCACCACAAACCCCTTCTCTTGCCTGCGCTATCCTTGGAGGGAGAAGCAAGATGGAGGCAGCGCTGTCTAGGAACCTGCCTGACCTGTCTAGGTGACATTCCAGTGCACACATCACCAGGCCTCCACAGATGGCCTCTGTGAGCTCATAGAGTGCCATAGCCTGGCCACTTGGCCTCTTTTCCTAGGTGGAATCCTTGGGGCTCAGAGGGAGGAGATGTGATCACCCAGGGCTCAACCCTAATAAGGAAGGATTGACTGAGCTAGGGTTGAGCAAGCCTGTGTGGTCCAGCATTGCCAAGGGTGGACAGGTCCCTGCCCTGACAGAGGTCACCTCTGCCAAAGCTGTGAGCCCAGGCCCCTTCCTTGCCCCCTCCACCCTTTCTGGGCCTCCCTGGCTGAGCCTGAGCAAGTCAGCCTGCATGGGGCTCGGGCCGGTCCCTCCAGCCTCCTGGGTCTTGCACGCAGTGGCCAGCTCTTACAGATGGGAAGCTGGAATTCAGGCCTGATGGGGGCGTGGGAGGGAGCAGCCTGCTGAACTGGTCAGAAAAGGGCAGGGAGATCTCAGCCCCCAGCCCCCTCCCTCCATGGCTCTTGAGTCATTTGGGTCCTGGCCTGAGCTTTGTCCCTTCATGGGTCCTGGCCTTGGGGACTGAGCCTGAGCCTCTGCTGTCCTCTGTGCCTCCTCCATTCAGCACCCACTGAGTGTGGTCAGGGACAGCCCAGCCTCCCAGGGAAAGAGTCTGAGGGACATCTGGCCCTGGGCAAGGTGTGGGGCTCTGAGATCCAAGGTTCCTGCCAAGGTTATGGCCTAGGTGGGCTTCTTGGCTTAGGAGGGAAAAGTTACGGCAGTCCCCACTCATCCCTGCCAGCCTGGCTGGAGGTAGACAAATCACTCACAGGCATTGCTTTGTTGGACTTTTCCAATAGTCCTACCCAAGAAACCACACAAACCAGTCGTTGCTGAGTTGATTCAGACTCATGGTGCCCCCCTGTGGGTCAGAGTAGAACTGTGCTCCATAGCGTTTTCAATGGATGAGTTTTTGGAAGTAGATCGCCAGGACTTTCTTTTGAGGTGCTTTTGGATAGACTTGACCTTTTGGTGGCAATCAAGTGTGATAATTCTATAGACTCTTTTTTATTAAGCTTACTTTCTAGATGAAGAGTCAGAGATTCAGAGGGGGAAAGTGACCTGCTTAAGTTCTCACGCTGAGAGAGTAGCGGGTCTGGAATTGAAATCTGAGAACCTGCAAACACTGGCATCTTGGTATTCTCAGGGTGTGACCTCTGGGTCGCAGTGGGAAGTCCCAGCACTCCAGTAAGACACTTCTAGTACTTATTTTCATACTCCCTACCCCTAGCAAGCCAGAAAGCTGGGGTGGCTCCCCAGAGTGTCCTTACCCTTTCAGCCATCTGAGCCAAGAAGGCAGTCAAGCCAGACCAGGATGTGACTCAGTGGGCGACCAGGCAAGTCACCTAATTGGCCTGTGCCGCAGACATCTGTCTCTTCCCCAAGCCCTGATAAGGTCGGAACCGGGTGGAGGGTGCCAGCCAGGTGTTGGTGCTTGCCCGGATCAAAGGGCCAGGGCTGAGAGCAGAATTGCCTGTCTATTTGTGGGCCCTGGGGGCTCTTGGGCCAGGAGACAGGGAGGGGGTGGCTGAGGGTTAGGCCTGGGCCTGCCCCTGCTCTTTCCCCTTGGGGCCAGAGCATGAAAGTTGGTTGGGAAGAGCCCACTTTCAGCAGCCCCCTTTGCAGACTGCTGTCTGCCCCCTGGCCTCTCAGCTCAGCGCTGGCTCCAGGCTATGTATGCTGCAGCAGCCCTTGCAACCTCTCTGAAGGCCCATAGCAGCACTACAGCTAGTGTGTCTTGCTGTTTTGGGCAATCAAGAGTCCTTATAGCCCTTAAAGGGAAGCTGCTCCTAGACCTATTGTGCACCAGGCCCCCTGTGCTGAGCTCTGCCACAGAGTCCATCCTTGACCTCAAGTAGTTTCCCTCTATTGGTGGGAACTGGACAAGTTATCATCCAATCACCAATAGTGAACACGCACCTTGTAGGTAGAGAAGTGTTCCTCAAGGAGGGGCCATTTGACTGGGAGCTTTGCAGGATGAGTTAGAGTTTGCTCAGGGTAAAGGACTTCTAGTCAGTTTGTTAGATTGAGAGGAGATGTGAGAAGGCTTCTTTTCTCCCTCCAAATTAGTAGAGAAGCTGGACGAACTATGCCAAGAAAACATACAGTAAGTCCTCAGGTTACAAATGTCTGACTTACAAACAACTCCTACTTGCTTTTTAATGTTATGTAAATTTGCCCTCTTTTTAATGTTATGTAAATTTGCCCTCACTTTGAAATGATGGAGCTCTGGTGGCATTCTGCTGACTTGCTGGCTTCAGTATAAACCTACCAGCTGCTCCTAGGGAGAAAGATGAGACAGTCTGCTTCCATAAAGATTTTCAGCCCTGGAAACCCTGTGGGCCAGTTCTACTGTGTCCTATGGGGTTGCTATGAGTCAAAATGGACTCCATGGCAGTGGATTTGGCTTTGGTTGGGTTTTAAAGTGACTGAACCAATCTTCTGGCAACAAATTCTTCATCACAGTCACCTTCACTTGCTGCACGTGCTGCTTTAAAATTATTGGAAAGTTTATGAGCTTTTCCTTGCCCTAAATAATGTGTACTGCCATCTAGTCAATTCTGACCCTTAGCAACCCTATAGGACCACAGTAGAACTGCACTATAGGGTTTCCAAGGCTATAAATCTTTATGGAAGCATACTCCTTTATTTTTCTCCTGCAGAGGGCCTGATGGATTTGAACCACTGACCTTTAGATTAGCACCGGATGTTTTAATCACTGTGCCAGCAGAGCCCCTTTCTTGCACTAAAGTAAGACTAAATAAGAACCACATGCACCTGGTCCAACCAGTCTAAGTTTACAAATTGGATTTAAAGACACACTTAGGAATGGATCTCATTTGTAATCCAGGGACTGCCTATATTTAAATTGCATAGCTGAGTGTGAAAGCTAAAGCAAGCTAAATTTTCAGGTGCCGCAAATGAAAAAGGGAACTCAGAAAACTGGTTTGGGAGCTGGAATTGAAGCCAAGTGATATAGAGAGTTTGGGGTCAGATTTTACTCTTAGGAGCGTGCTACAACTTTTTTTGAATGTAAACATTTTCATCATGAAAAAATTCAAATACACATAAAAAGTAGAGAGACTAGTACAATGAACCCCCATCTCCTCATTTTCCAGATTCATCAAATTATCAATAGTCTGGCCTAGTTTCCAGGCTCAGGGTCCCTTGAGAGGATGGTGCAGGCTTGGGTTCTCTTGTCATATGGGTGACTCGGTTTCCACCCAGAGCCCAGCTCCCTGATTCCAAGCTGTGTCTTGGGTTGGTGGGCAGTTTTTTTTTTTGCAGAGTTCACTTGCATGATGAATGCCTCCTTCTTGGCTCTAGTTTTATGTAGAGAACCTAGTTCCAGCCCCTGTTTTGTGGAGTCCTGGGACTTCTACCCCTTCCCCATGTTGGCCTGATGTGTCCAGGGTACCCAACAGAGGCAAATCCTCTAGGGAAGCCAGCATGATCTGAGCCTGTATGGGACACAGATGACAATTCCTGCTGAAGGCAAACTCAGAGTTAGCAGAGCATAGGGTGATGGTTGTACAACATGGTGAATGTGATTAATGCCATTGGATTGTATACTTAATGATGATTAAAATGGTAAATATTTTGTTATAGATATTTTGCCACCAGCTGGCCCAGAAAATGGGATGATTAGCTCCTGAAGAACTGAGGAGAAGAATAGAGTCTTTTTAAAGGGACTTTAAAATTAGATATTTGTAATTTGCAAAGCTCTAAAGGAGAAAGTAGAATTCACCAAACAGGAATAGCACATTATGAAAAAGGAGTAGGTAGATGTTTAAAAGACTCAAATTTAAAATTCTAGAAGTGAAAAATGTCATGATGAAAATAAAAATATAATAGCTAGATGAGTTAGTGACTGGTCTAGACCCAGCTGAAGAGAAAATGAGTGAATTAGAAGATGGATCCGAGGAAATCACAAATGTAGCACAGGGACGTATGGGGAGAGCATACAGGCAGAGGCAGGAATGAGAGCCAAAGTTGTTTGTGATACTGCCTACCTTTGGTGACTTGTGGTTCCTTGCTTGGGCTGGAGAATGGAGAGAGAAGAGGCTGGGCA